GACTAAAATAGCGAAATTTTAATTTGTGATTTTCAGGAAATCTGCACAAGTGATGGCCGTGCCGGCGTTTGCTCCGCCGTCGTTTTCGTTCTGAACGCGATCAGAGCTCAACTCATATTTCTTATCGTGTTCTGCTAAAATTTGTATATTCTCATATTTATTATTATTATTATAGAGTTTTAATGTCTTGAATATATATGTCAATTTATAGATGTAGAATTTTTCGTGTTAACTTATAATGTTTCATAATTACATACTAGTACAAGGTGTACAATTTTAAGGCTATTTATCCAATCTTATAATTATATACATGAATAAAGAAAAATATACGGAATATATAAAGTTTTATAAGATGTAATGTTTAATAAAAGTTTTATAATACGCAAAAAAATTGTACAATAAAATGTATTCGACGAAGAAACAACCATTTGGGTATCACCCGCTTTTATTTGTTTCTCTTGCACACTTTGAATGTCAACAAACAATCCTGTAATATCGTCAATAAAAAACAAATATGTTATAATTGACTAATTTGCAATAAACAAATAAAATTAGAAACAACAGAAAATAACTTCCCGAATAAAATCGATTCGTCGATTTTATTGACATCTTGTTGAGTTGCAAAGTCTTTGAATTGAAATCGAAATACATTAAATTCTTCCTTGCATTTTGTAAACATAGTGCTCCCGTGCAGTATGATCTTAAAATCAGTGAATGTCGAACAATACTTTCCTATATTGTTGTACACTTGATAATTTTTTTATACAATTCACCATGCCCTTCTCAAAATCTTTTCTCTAAACGCAGCCAAGATAATTGTCCGTAGTCATGTCGTAATGCGATGTCACTAAACATGTACAAAAAAGCAATCAATAAAAAATTTATTTGTTTAAAAAATATAAATAATGTAAATATCTAAATATATACACTGAGTTGTAGAAGAAATAAACCAAATTCTAAACTTAAAAAATAAAATTTTAAATATTCAAAAATATATGTTTTGTAGTTCGAAATTAAAAAAAAAAAAAAAAGTAAAAATAATTTGGCTTACAGTTTTATCATGCAGAATCAACTCGAGATAGGATTTGTATGTGTTGTCCTTGTCTTGGAAAAACATTCTTACGATTCGAACTTTAAGCATAGATCTATTAGACCTATTAACTTGTTTGATTAAGCCAAATCTTTGGTTCATTGTTTTGAATGAAAGACTGATTAAGAATTTTTGTTTCGTAGGATGTTGAAAGTGACGAAGACGCTGCTCAATATTTTGAGATTTATAATTTATAATTGGTAGAGTAGATACAATAGTTGTTAATATTTTTATGAAAAAAAAATCTCAATATACAAAAATTTCCTAACTTAATTTCATATTACAGTGAAAACTTATGGTAAAAACTGTTGAAAAAATAGCCGTTAAAAATTGGAATCATCAAATTCAAACTCAACTTCCAATGAAAAACTCATTTGAATGAAGTATTTTAGTTAAAATTTACGTTGGAATGAAAAAAAAAAAAAGAAAGAATTTACGTTGGAATGACAACAAAAACTATACTATTAAAATTTCCATTGAAATATTACAATTTTTTTTTGGCAAGATTTAGGGACAGTAAAGTAAAAATGAGAGAGATTCGAGATAGGGGCACTGTTTTCATTGCACAGGACTTGAGACCAAGTAAACCCACAGATAGATAACACGTTGAAGGAGAAGAACACATATCCATATAGTACATAAAATCTGTGAAGTTGCCATATGTATTCTAAAACAAACCATTCAGATTTTACAGACAAAAAGGCTTTGAACCTCATGTCAAGTATTGCACAACAGATGCATTCTGATTTTTGTCAAACATTTTCACCTGTTAGATATATATTTACAAAAAAAAGAATATATCTCGTATAAGTTAGCCGTATTGACGTGCACAGGTGGTCTGAAAACGCGCCGATCTTAGACCAAACCGCCTCCTGAAACGGATTGAAATCTTTGAACTTAGATTGCCCACAAAGCTAAAGGTGGGATTTTTTGTCGAAAGAAGAGAGTGATTTGTTCGTATACCTCGTAAAAAAAGTGTAAAGATTTCAACTTTCATCACCCGAACTGAAATCATCGTCCAGCTGGCGCTCCCTCATCGCCGGGAAAAGTCTCCGGTGACTCTCGATTGGTGACTCCGAAACGGACGACGATGACGTGGTAGGTTCCTTCCTTGGCCCTGCCGCCTTCCTCGACGAGCTCTTCACGTCCAAGCAAGCCTTGTCCAGCATCAGCAGAAAATCGCGCACGATCACAAACAGGTGGGACCCCTCCTCCCTCCCGGCCCTCCCATGGAAATAATCCCCTGTGCTGCGCACCAGGGCCGTGATCCTACGCTCCTCGTCTTTTAACCAGTTGATATCCGACTCGCACTGGCCCACGAATCCAGTCAGCGCCTCTCGAAACCCTCCATCTTCCTCCTCTTCTTCAACCTCTTTCATCTCGGCCTCGAGAAAAGTCTTGGTCTGCTCGAGGGCCTGCCCGAGTCGTTTTGCAGTCTCGATTAAGCTCTCGTTATCGACAAGTGCAGCTTTCTTCACATTCTTGAGCTCACTGCTTAGCCCGGACACGACTTGAAGCCCGAGGGCCCGGTGGTAATCCTCCGACTCATTCGAAGGGTTGTCTAAGTAGAGATCTTCGGTTTTCACGCTGGACAAGCTGCGGCTCTCTTGGAGGCGACGGGCGGCTCGAATGCCCTCCGAGCGGATAATCTCTCGTACCACAAAGTGGAGGAGTGTTGTTTTACCGTCCGTGCCCTTAACGTCCGAGAGCTTGAGGAGAGTGTCGAGCTTGAAAGCTTGTGCTCCGCCACGGTACGTGCCGTCGTTCATTCGATTGCCCGTTTTCAGAACAGCTTCTAGAAGCTTCAGGAATAGGCGGCTGTTCCGGAGCTCCTTGCATGCCACCTGCACAAAAAAGGTGAAAAAAATTATGGATTCTTCGTCCGAAACTAGTGCGTAGCCCGTGCTGTAAATAATATAAAATAATAATTATAAATTAAAAAATAGGATAAACAATATTAAATAATGATTACAAATTAAAATATGAGTAAATAATATTAAATAATAATTATAAACTAAAGATGTGGGGTTAATGTGATATAATCTACTGTATATAGTTTATTGTAAACAATATAAGATTATCCTGTATAAAAGAACATAACAAATATGTGTTTTAAAATATTGAATTTGAGAGAAGATTTACATAGTATATGTAAAACAAAATATTGAGATGATACCGGAAATTATGAGGCATGCAATTAATTTTGGCGGATTTTTTTCTTACTATTTCTAATAGTTATTCTCTTTATATATATAGATTCGTATAACTATTTCGGACAGTTGGAAAGGAAATTTAAATCACACCTCCAAAGTTGCCAAGGACTCTTTGGTCGAAGAGAAATCTTCCTGAAAAGTGCTTACGAAGAGCAATGCTTCGAGTCGTTTGAAGGCACATGGGATATCGACCATGATCTTGAGGAACCTCTCGGCTGGGCCGAGTTGAGCGATATCTCCACCATATAATCGAAGTTTCAATTCTTCATCTGATGTTGGTGCCATTCTCAGTAAAGTCTGGATGAGTTCTGATGGGAGCTCGTTGCCTGATTAAACATTACAAAATCGGAGAAGTTATGTAAGTTCAGAGCGTACTAATCAATATGAATCATGTAAAAAGGAAGAACCTTCTTTGAGAGCATCACAGACTTCTTCTGTCGTCACATTCAATGCTTTTAGAAGGATCGCCAAGTTTTGTGATTTTTTCGGGTCGATAATCTGAATAAACTGAGGAGAATCGAAAGAAGACGAGTCTTTTTTGTGCTCGTTCTTGTTTTTATCAGCAGGTGTATATCCAAATAGACTCTCCATCATCTCCTCATTGAACCTACAAAAATTCCACACAAATATAATCCAAACTGAACACTCAAAAAACGATTAAATAAATAAATAACAAAGTACTTACTGAAACGACCCAGCCTTAATCTCGTGCCACACCATCGAGTGATTCGGGCTCGCGAGAACCTTATCCCAAAAAAACGGCTTCAACTTAGTTTTTGGAGCTTCGGATTCATCAGAGCCATTGCTTGCCTCAGCCGTGGAAGATCGCCGGTGGTGGGGCCCAAGAGGGGACGGGTTTGGGGGTGTCGGCCGGAGGCCAATTTTAGGCGGCGGTGGAGCTGCCGGAGCTGGAGGTTTGGCTGGCGGAGGTGGCGGTGGTGGTCCGGGTGGGGCGGCCGGCGGTGGTTTTCTTCCCGGAGGAAGTGGCAAAACATTTACGTTTTCCCCTTCTGCATGAGACTGAGATTCTTCGGGATTAGCGGCCGCCGGCGATAAGCCGGTGGCCGAAGGGACCTTAGCAAGATTGTTGCTGCTCGGGTTACTCAAGGTGTGGCAGGAAGAACCTGAACAAATTATATATATTATATCTAAAGAGTGCAACAAATAAACCAACTTCCTGCCTCGAATCTTGAATTTCACATCCCTCAATTTTTTTATTTTTTTTTCCTCAGGTTTTTGTAATAACTTGAAAAGTCGAGGGCGTAACTATTAACATATTTTACGAATATACCTGCCGAAATATTGCTGATGGTAAAGTTGAGGAGAGGCTTCTCATCTCTCTGCCCCTCCTTCGGCTCGACTCGCCTCTTCCTCTTAAGACAGACGAACAACAAAAGAGCTACAGTTAGGAGTCCCAAAACCAAAATCGCCACTATTAAGCCAGCTAACATATCCTTCCGATTATTATTATCATTATCATTATTGTTGTCACGTGCCCTCTGGCTAGGCAACACATTTTCCGGCAATGTCAAAGGTTGATTGATGTCCGCCTGAGGCGGAGGAGTGGGGCCCAACGTGTCAGAGGGAGATAGAGAAGGAGAGAGAGAGGGAGAGGGAGAGGGAGAGGGAGAGAGAAAGGGAGAGAGAGAAGGAGAGAGAGATGGAGAGAGAGAGGGAGAGGGAGAGGGAGAGAGGAAATGATATGTCGGTGCCGAAGCTTTTGCCACAAACCGATGGTGCCTTCGGTTCCTGTGCCTTAGGTACCTTCTCGGGATGCGCTCAGAAATTGAAAACAGATTTCTAGACAAAAACGAATGCTCCTCCATTGATACTTGAAAGTTTTCTTCTGTATGGCAGTTGATGATAGTTTCTTCATTCATGACGGTTTTCAGTTGGTGTAATTTCGAATCTTGGTTCTTAGGAGATGCCGAATTGTCATGCAACTCGTTTATACAATGGTCCGTTGCTTGTACAGCCTGTCCAGACAGTATATGAAAGAACAATAACGAAATGAGATAAGATTCATAGTTCACCTAAAACAATAGAATCTTGCATTCTTATTCTGAAAAGAATAAAAGTCATTTGAAATGCTTGATAGTAAATTAGTAACTAAGCAATAACTTAAAAGCTCCCGACACGTTTTATCGGATCATCCTCCTATGTGCTCAGCAGGGAATAGAGAAAGCACTCCACATGCATTATTAGACTCATAAAAACTGCAATTAACTACTCAATCATGAGAAGAAGCAAAAGCTAGTTTGCCCCCACATCACACGACAACACAGACGAGCACTGAAGATCATTGCGTTCGTTCCATCTCTTATACGATCCTTAGCGAAAGATCAACACTAAAATCAACGGGAGGTCTTGTAATTTTCAGATAATCACAAATGTATCCAATGTGAAAGTAAATTATACCACATAGATTTACTTACCCATGTTCTATTTCAACAGAGCAATCAATCATCACACCACAGTAAACAAACACATACAAAAATCCAATCCTTTAACGACATCAATAGCCGAACAAAAATATCACAGACCGTGTATTTGTTAATTTCTTCGGTGGCAGCCGAAGAAGCTCCATCGTCTACACAGCTCCTTCCTTCAGAATTATTTGCTGCAACAACACATACAAAAGCAAGAAACAGGGCCACAAATCTGGTGTCCATTTTCTCTCAACTTAACCATTATTAACCCAAACCCATTTTTTCAGCCCTTCTCATTTGGATCAACCTGAAAAAAGAACACACACAGCCCTTTTGTGTCTACAGCTATGTATGCACACAAGACGTGTTCTTGGCTTCAACCCTCGAAATACAATGTGCCCCAGATGAAGAAAAATCAAAATAAAGAATCTGAAAAAAAAAAAAATGAAATCTTTGCTTTTATTTAAGGAAAAAAATATATAATTTTTCGTATAATGCACAAAATCCCCAGATACAAATCTTTCATTCGATACCCAATACGAAAGATGAGAAGGTAGAAATATCACAGACTCAAAAGGGGGGGAAAAAATAGGGCCCTCATTCAGAAATGGAGCTTAAATTACACAGCTTCGCCACCAAAAAATTGCACCTTTAATGGCTTCCGTTGATGGGATTTTTGGCCGGGAAAGAAAATGAGAGGGAAGGGGAAAAAGCTTTTTCCGGTCAAAAAAATGAATTTCTGTAGAGAATTTTGTTCGGTGATAATGGTGCATGTTTTACGGAAGGCGATACAGACGGAGCAAAAATGAAAGAGAAGAAACGTGCTAAGAACTATGAGAGTTTTAGGAAAAAAATAAAAATATAATATAAGAAAAAAAAAATTATTAAAAATATTAAAAATATAATTTATAATATTTAGATAAGAAACATATTTTAAATTTGGAGGGGATTTCTTTTTTTTTTAAAAAAAAAAATAATAGTAGTAATAAATTTGATGACAAATATGAATTTTGAATTAAATTGATTACTAAATGAATTAATTTTTAAATTACAAAATTATTAGTTAAATAATAGGATTTCTACTTAACTATAATTTTGAAAAATCACACAATTTTGGGCATTATGTGCAATGATAGGATGATGCATATTAATCACATATAATGTTGAAGATTGGGGTCTAATTTCTCCTTTAGTGGAAATTAGAAATTTAACCTAACTATTGGATTGCTCAATTTCAACAATCTCTACAATATTTGTCAATTCCACTTTTGTGGGGTGTACATATTTTAAAATTTTTTGTTATTTAGTCCTGTGTTTTTATAGTATTTTGTTAAGATTTTTATAGGGTACACCTAGCATGTCTCCTTTTTCCCTTTTCAATTTTATCCACATATATATATGTATATTTTTTTTTTTTTGGATAAAAGTTTATAAAAAACACATAATTTGGATAATAAACAGAAATAGTCAAGCAACGCCTAGTTGAATCCAATGAAAAGTCGACTCAAAGGGCAACCTATACGCCAAACACAACACACTCACGAAAATTTAAAAGGTCCCTACATGAATAATGAACACCGATTCCATCCGAAATAATGAACACAGGTCCCAGCAGGGATAATTTTTATCCATAGTTGGTGCTCAAATTGTATTGCCATTAGTCCACGTCAGACTTCGTATTTTATTTTATTTTAAAATATAATATATTTATGGTTGGATAAAAAAAATAGTTGCTAATCAATATTTTTTTCATAATGTTGTAAAAAAAATATTAAACTTAAAAAATTCATGCAATGAGCCTCATAATAGTATAAAAAAAATATATATATAACATATATACCATCCATCATAAAAATAAAACACACATCTAACTATGCATGGAAAAAAAAATGCAATGACAAAAATATATAAAATATAATCAAAAGTCATTATGAACTCCTTTGACACTTAGAAACAAATTAAAAATGTTCAAAGTGACAAATTATAATTAAGAATTGTCTATAATAAAATATGTAATGTATTTAAGCAATATTCAATAGTTGTCATTAAAATTTGGAGCTTTCACGTCATTGCTTATCTTATTCCATTGTCTTTGAGCTTCAATAAAACTAAGACTTAGATGAGGTCCCTTAGGTTGACTTTTTCCACTTTGACCTTCGTTGGTCAATGAGTTGACCCTGCAAGAATTAAATAACCAAAATTATGATAATTTTAAAAATTATACTTTTCTCACATGAAAAAAAAAAAAAAACTTAAGCAAGTGATTTTATTTAGTAATAACAAATATGTCAAATTTAATTTTTTGGTCCAAAATGCAATAGTTATGCTTTTTTTAGAAAAGATTTGACCATTTAGGGAAATCATTAAATTATTTAATTTTTTTAGAAGGAAAATATTATTATGAATAAAATGAAAAAAATAATATATAATAATACCCATTTTGGTGGCTCCCATCAATGGAGTTATCAGTTACAGAAGTTGCATCATCCATTAGAGCTGTTGATCCCTGTAATTTGCAGCCCATCTGTTATTAATTGCATAATAATTTTGTCTCATCTGTCAAAATTATAACCTAGGAAGATGCTACGGTCCCCGGAATCATTTTTCGAAGTTTATAACCGTTAGATCAACTATCTCTAATGGTTACATATTGATCTAACGGTTACAAACCCCGACAGATTGGTTACGTAATGGGACCCAGCATTTCTCTATAATCTATATATACAAATAAATTATACATAAATATAATTTTCACTTAATTATTGCATATCATGGTTAAGCTTCAAAATAATTTTAATTTCTGACTAATATTATTAAAATAATTACCTCAATATTTTCAGTTCTTTCGGGAACATGTTGGTTGCCTAGCAATTTGGCCTACACAAATAATAATAATAATAATAATAATAATAATAATAATAATAATAATAATAATAATAATAATAATAATAATAATAATAATAATAATAATAATATAGAAAAAAAAATAATACCATACCTTTGACAATTGTATACGTTGAATGGAGCTTGTAAGGAACTGCTGGTAAACGCCAGCTTCAAGAGCTGAATTAATCTTCTCTAAATTAGGTTCGTAATACCTATTAAAAGGAATAAATTAATTACTAATTAGACTAATTAATTATTTATATATAAAAACTCAATTTATTTTTATATTCTCCAAAATTAATTAAATTCAGAACTATATTTTTTTTGGTACCTCATTTTCTCCTGTGACTCGCGCTGTCTCCTATTGAGTTTATCCAATTTTTCTTCAAGATCCTGAATTTATTGAATAATAGCACATATTAAATGTTCTCTCTTATTAATGCAAGACAAATTATTAAATTCAAGTAAAAAATTCAAATTAACTTCAAATTTTCCAAGATTAGACTTAAAAATTAGTTCATACAATTAATTGACCTGCAAAAGAAAAATTATTTAAATCATAATATAGTATTTTACCTCAATTCTGAGATTGTTGGCCAGCAAAATCAGCAATTGTTTCATATGTGACACAAAGAAATAAAAAATATATGAGAAAAATGTAAATACCGATTAAATTAAAGTAATTAAAGCAACTATAATAGGAAAAATAAATAAAATAGTTAAGCCATAAAATGGTGGTTGTGAGTATATATATTACATGGCAATCTTTTCCAGCATCTCCACTTCATACTTCAATTGCTTGAGCCTTCGAGACAATAACTACATATTTATACATAGTTAGTTAGATTCTAGAGCTGTAAAACGAGTTGAGCCGTGTCCAGCCGATCGAGTTTGAACCCTTGATACTCAGTTTCAAGTTTGATCCTTTATCAACTCGAGCCGAGCTTGGCTCGTTAAGCTTACTAGCCAACAAACGAGCTTGCGGGTTCGGCTCGTTAACGAGTCGAACTCGAACAAATTTAAGAAATTACATAAACATTCCTAATTAGCAACCTAACGAGCTAGCTTTAACGACTTAAGTCGAGCCAAGCTCCACTCTCTAGCGGTTAGCTAAGCGACTCATATTGTTTCGTTTAACAAATCTATTAAATCCTCAGCATTTGACAATAATATTAACAAATAGAAATAAATACTTGAAAAAAAATACGTGCATACATACCTCTTCATTGTTAATCGGCCTGCACCATGGAAATAATCATAAATATGTTGTTAATTGAATGAAAATTAGATATAGTTTATTCTAAACATGATCACAATAAGATGAAAAATAAATAAATTAATGCAAACATACCCTCCTCTTAGTTCATCAGGTCTGTCAACAAAACGTAGGAAGATATCCTCAATCCTGCTGTAGAAATATTATGAAAAAAAAAAAGAATAATATTAGTAAGTTGATACAATAATCTAGTAAATGAAATAAACATGACAAAATTAAATGTTTAATTAATGACAAACATAATTAGTCACAAACATATAACCCTCAAGCCGCATTTCGATCGATGGATTTCGAAGTAAAACGATTCAAACTCATTGATACCAAAACAACATTGAGATTATATTTTTCGGATTAAGTCATTACAATGATTATTTTAAAAATAATTTATCTCGATTGTGAATCTATAAGATATTGTCGAACGATGGATTTCGAAGTAAAAAACGATTCAAAATCACCGATACCAAACAACACTGAGATTATATATCGTTCTAATTAAGTCGTTGACAATGATCATTTGACACGATCTTTAAAACGTTAAAAAACAGTTTCTCTCGATTTGTGAATCTATAACGAAAATCAAAAGAAAATGTCGATCGACTGATTTCGAAGGAAAATGATTCAAAATCATGGATATCAATCAACACTCATAAGATTATATTGTTCGGATTAAGTCGTTGACAATGAATATTTGACACAATCTTTAAAACATTAAAAACAATTCCACTCGATTTGCGAATCTATAACTAAGAACCAAAAGATTTTGTCGGTCGATGGATTTCGAAGTAAAATGAATCAAAATCATCGATACCAAACAACACTCATGATATTATATTGTTTGGATTAAGTCGTTGACTATGAACATTTGGCACTATCTTTAAAACATTAAAAACAATTTCTCTCGATTTGTGAATCTATATCTAAAAACAAAAAGATATTGGCGATCGATGGATTTCGCAATAAAATGATTCAAAATCATCGATATCGATACCAACTTACACTGAGATTATATATTGTTCGAATTAAGTAGTTAACAATGAATTTGACACGATCTTAAAAACATTAAAAACAGTTCCTCTCGATTTGTGAATCTATAACTAAAATCCGAAAGATACTATCGATCGGGCCAATTTTCATTTTCCCAATCCACCTATATATATACTGATTCCACCCGTTTATTCCAAAAAAAAAAAAAGAAACCTTCCGTCACTAGAAAAAGTTGTGAGTCGTCCGGTTGGCGAAAACATGATTAGGGCAACATCCGTATCGCACAATACAGATAGCTCCTTCGCCTTCTTCACGATTCCATCCTTACGCTTCGCGTAAGTCACTTGACGAGCTGCGGCATTTTCAATGCGCCTCATCGCAAGCTTCTTGCGCCCCATCGAATGCGAACCGCATGAAGAAAAAGGAAAAAACCAAGGACAAAAATGAGTGAAAGCTGAAGAAAAGGGATAGCTTTTATGACCATTTTTTTTTTTGGTCACATATAAAAGAGTCAATTCAATTAATGTTGACCCAAGCCACAAAGTATAAATGCTTATTAGAGTCATAGTCAATGGAAAATCTGTGTGTGTTAGCTAATGTGAGAATCTGGAAATTCAATACACAATCTGAAAAGTGAAGGAGAAGATGCTGTCAAGGGCTTTTTACCAAAAACTTCTTGCCCACAAAGTCATGCATTCACACATAACATAAATCATAAAATTGCACATAATTTAATAAGGAGCAGAAGATAAACAGCAGTCGCGAGCTCGAACCAAAAGTTACGTCCATTTTTTTGCCGACAAACGCCTCTTACGATGTTCGGCAACTCGATCAAAACTCTGTCTTCTACACGTTTCACATTTCGAATGAGTAAATAATAGGTTGAATAATTTAGAAAGCTATATGAAAAGTTCTTTAGCAAGTTGAATACTAATTAAAATATATAAATGTGTCATATTATTTACTTGCATTTCAATTTTAAAAGTAAAACTGGTATAAATAACTCGGAATATACACAAAATCCTAATAACCATATTCAACCGTCATAACGACAATAATAACCGTCACTGTTATCGTCAGTCACGGTAGCCAATCAACGCTTATCTCGAATTTATCTTAAATAGCATAATAGTTATTAGGTATTTGATATTTATAACTTTGCTAAAAAACCAGATGGGTTGTTCCTTTATGGAACCAACCACCAATGAGACAGTGCCATGTATTATTCACAGACCCATGTGGCACTGTCTTATTGGTGGTTGGTTCCATAAGGGAACCAACCATCTGGTTTTATAGAAGAACTGTGTCTCAATAATCCTATTTTTTAAGAGTAAATTACAATTTTAGTTATGTATTTTTGAATTGTGTTTTTTATTTTCGTTACGTATATTTGAAAAAAGATTATAGAAAGGTTATTTTTGCAGCAAAAAGGTCGAATTGTGTTTTTTATCTTCGTCACGTATGTTTGAAAAAAAGTTTACAGAAAAGTTATTTTTGCAGCAAAAGGTCTTTTATGTTTTGCACAAAACGGGCAAACGACGTCGTAGAGATCCCAAATTTATCAACCAATGTTCCTCCACCGGAGCTCCAAACGATCCATCAATGGAGAAGCACGTACAGATTCTCCTCAACAGGCTCTCCTTTACCTCCATAGCCACAGCCACGCTGACCCTCTTGCTCCTCTACCTCCAAACCCCCAGTACCTGCGTCGACCCGTCCGATCCGAACCCGAAACCCCACACCCGTTTCCCCAAATCCACCTGCGACCTCACCCACCGCCGCTACACCTCCGTCGACAAGCGCAACCGCCGCCTCTGGTCCACCAACGCCTGGAAAACCGCTGTCGCCTCCTATTCCTCCCTCCTGACGGCCCTCCAGGCCCGAAACCACTTCTCGAACGACTCCCGGGCCCTTGTCGTCTCCGCCGGGCCGGGCCACGCCGTGCGCTCCCTGCAGGAAATGGGGGTGGAGGAAGTCACCGGAGTGGAGCTGGTGGGCTCGCCGCCTCTGGTGAGCCAGGCGGATCCCCACAACCTGCCATTCTTTGATGGGGTGTTTGATCTCGGGCTCGGCCTGTACCTGGATCTGGCCCTTTTCCCAGGCCGGTTTGTAGGGCAGTTGGAGAGGACGGTGAGGAGCGGTGGGGTTTGCTTGGTGACTGTAGATGAGTGTGGGGGAGATGAAGTGAAAGAGATTGTGGGATTGTTTAAGAAATCAAGGTTTGTTGATGTGAGAAATTTGAGTTTGGCTGGGGAGAAAAGGACTGTGATTGTTATGAAAGTTGAGGATAATACATGAATCTTGAAAAAGATCCCAACTTTTTTCCTTTTCTTCCTATTTTCCCTTTACCCTTTTGGCTGCTGATAATTGCTTTAAGCTGCCATGTCTCTTGCAGTGAGTATATTTGTTTAAAAATCTATGGGATGAAGTTGAGATGTGTATCATGTAGATTTTTTGATTTTGTGGGCGTTTCGTTTGTAAACCTCCCTACGTTTGTACAGGATTAGTTATATGAATTGCATCGGTGTTTGTTTCGTGCATTTTCTTGGTTTTTCTGGTTGGTGAGTTGCTGCATGACTGTATAGAGGAAATGGGAATTCATATGAGATTCATCATGTGCAGTGGAGTTTTCTTTTGCAAGTATATCTTACATAGGATTTATTGGGGCAGTTCACCCTTTCAAAAAGGGAGTTCGTTCGGCAGACTACGTGTGGTTATGCATGTAGAGATTACATAGACACTCATACATGTTCTTATTTATGTTTTTCCCCTAGTGAGAGCCATTAATGTTCAATCTTGGTAAAAATGCGAACTTTTTGTAATTGACAAATTGTAGTTTTCGTGTTGTGCATGCGCTTTTAAGTTCGTTTTGCTAATTGCACAACACTGAGATGTATGTTGGCTTGTATGTCTTGGAAATTTATACTTTTGGCCCTGTCAATCTCTTGTCATGATCAGTGGATTTAGCCGCTATAAGAACAATTACCTAATTCTAAAATTTTGTACAATGGATATATTACACTTGCTTTCTAGTGCTTGATCCAGGTTGACACATATTCTATAGTTTTGCTCCCCTGAATTGGGTAAATGTAACTGCAATCTTGATTTACCGAGGTTTACCTGCTCGTGCAGGGGATACTCTAGCCAATTTATCTGATAATATTCTTTCCATTCTGACTGGTTCGATCTTACGAAGATAGGTGTATCGGTTTCTTGAAGGTTAGTGGATCATGATGGATAATTTTAAGTCCCATCGTGCACCTTCGATAATTTTGGCAATTATTATTAGCAAAACTTCACTTTTATATCAACATGGAAGATGATTAGAGGGAACAAGGTTACTTTATCTTCTCAAAAAGAAGTCATTTTACTTCTTGAACACAGATTTAGTTCATTGTGTACAATTTTTTATCTTCTAAAAAGAAGTCATTTCACTTATTGAACCCAAATTTAGTTCATTATGTACAATTTTTTTCCTACCAAAGTGCTATGTCAAACTTGAGCATAGGAAAATTCAGTCTTGGACACTTTGATATTGGAAAAATGTGAGATAAAAATAGAAAAAAATGAATCTTTTTTTTATAGGAAAATGTCATTTTTTCTTCATAATTTGTGAAAAAAAGTTCTGCTTGAAGATAAATAACTTTTGAATTTCTTCACGGCCAAACCTTAAACTAATAATTTTGGCCTCAGATTCCATTCCGAAGTGGGCTTCACGTGATAGTGTCATCCACACAAGTCCTCTCCTTAACTAAACACACACACGTACATATGGCAAAAAGTCATAAAGATTGTTTGAATCGTTGGATTAACACACACAAATCCACATTGATGTATATTGATCTGACGGTGAAAAATTCGATTCGATCACGACTGTTTTCACCTTTGGATATGGATGTGTGTTGATCTAACGACTAACGGTGTGAGGAAAACTCGATTTGTCCGAAATTGCAAAATTTGGTAATGGGCAAAATACAGATGTACCCAAAAAGTACAGAAAACAGATATACTGATACAAAAGAACCCAGATTATTCCCATACGCACAAATACAAAAAGATGCCCCAAACTCATAATCACGCCCACAGGGCCACAAACTACAAGTCTATATAACCAACTGTCCTTTTTTTTTTCTTTTCTTTTTTT